GGGACTTGGGAAAGGAAACACCCAACTCGGCCAATCCCATGATGGGCCTCAGCTCCCCCCTTTCGCTCCCTAGGGGCATGAGGAAGCCCATTACCTCTTAGGATCTGACTCCCACGCCCCAGTAGCATCTCTTCCTGTCTCTCGCGGAGGTATTCCTTTTAGGCCAAATCACTTCCTACTAGGGAAAGGCTTTGTGTTTAAAATATTGTCATCCACTTGACTAATCCAAATGGATAAACATTACACACACACACACTTCAGAAGACCAATGGCCTGTATTCACTATGGCTGGGTCCATGGAGCAGCGATCAATCCAGTAGGGGTAAAGTAATACAAGACACAATAAATCAATCACCAATCGCTCTCCCATTGACTCTACTACTCTACCTTAGCGAGAAGCACGAGGGAGTTGATGGGAGAGCGTCTCCAGGTGACACATCACAGTGAAGACATCATGGTAAGTAGATACAAGTACGTCAACCTGGTAGCTATGTTATTCAGGTAGCTAAAGTACTGTAATTTAGACGGCTCTCCCGTGGTAGTGTAGACCAGCCCTCTGGCTTCATCTACACTACAGTTGGGATCTACGGAGGAGAGATCAATACACTGGCAGTCGACTTCGCAGGTCTAGCAAAGACCTGCCAAATCAACCACAGATCACTCTCCAGTTGACCCTGGTACTCTACCCCAAACGAAAAGAGTAAGGTAAGTAGACAGAAGAGCATCTCTCGTTGACTCCGTGTGGTGTAAACACCGCACTAACTTGACTGAAGGTATGTCGACTCAGCTATGTTATTCACATAGCTGGAGCGAGTACTTTAGGTCAACTTACTTCAGCAGTGTAGATGTTGCCTCAGAAATGGGTGACCGCTACACTGCTGTGTCTAGCCTTCAGTGAAGAGCATCTGCCAGAAGACTGGTATCACAAAACGATGGTCATGTCTCATTATGTCGTGAAGCTGCACAATTGTCTGGCACCATACGCCTTTCTAGGCAGTACACCAGGGCTGGGTGTTGTGGGTCTCCATAGACTGGGTAACGTTAACACCTACAGAGCTGTCCTAAAGCCCAGGGTGTCACAGTTAGGCCCTGATCCTGGAAACACCCATGTGTCTGCTTCCCTTTGAGCACAAAAACAGTCCCTGGCCTACACTCAAAGTTTTCATAGCGTAACCGTTATGCCCATCAAACCGTTAGGTACATGCAATTACATCCCTATCAAGTACCTCACCAAACCAGAATAGCAATGGCCGTATATCAGTGTAAAAGTGCTTATAACAGCCTCCTCACTAGGGATGTGAAAGTGTGACCCTGTAAATGGTTAACCAATGAGCCTGGGCTTATCAGTTAGTGTTCATGGTTACATGCACACTCCCGTTACATGATGCCAGGTGGGAGCTGGTACTCACAGAGAGCCAGCTTAAAAGTTGGCTCCCTACGCGCACTGGCTCCCAGGGAGCTGCCTGCCCCCCTATGTGTAAACA